GGTGACCGCACCCCTCCTCTATACCAAATTTAAGCTGTTTGAAACGATCACACATTCCACGGTGTAGTGCGCTCTTACGCACGATATATCGCATAAAGGACCTTGTCTCTTTGTTTCCAACACTAAGCTCTAATATTAGGTTGTCGATTGCCTTTTGTCTGTTAAACTTTAAATTGTACTTGTCTCTCGCTAGTTTTTTGCTTTTGTTTTGAATCTGAGTTTTTGGAGTTAGAATGGTCCTCAACATGAGTAGATATCCAGTGAACACTGTCAGATAGACCCTGCAGTCCGAGGAGCTCTACTAGAGTAACCATGATTTGGATAGATGTTGTGTTGTACAGCTCAGATGTGGTGCTCTTCCTCTTAACTATTGCTCTTACTCTCCCTCCAATCAGTCTGGAGCTGGCTATCCTCATCTTCGGGACTCTTCTTTTGGTATGTTGGGAGTTGTGGTGGAAATACTCGTATAACCTGATACAGATTACAGTGCAATCTGGTTCAGTATACTAATCTGGTTCAGTATACTAATTCTAACATTTATATCCTGATGTTAGAGAATTGTCCAGAATAATAGTAAGGTACTTGAACCACAAAGATCAAGATTATTTAATTGTGTGGATAATTTGCATAATATACACAGTCATAACTTAAAATGCAGACAACAATTAAATAAAGATAAGCTGTAACAAAAGGAAATTAATTTCCTTGTGGCGCTTTCTACTGGATAAGTACTTGACACTTGAGGAACAAAAGTTAATTAGTCAATATTATGTATCCTAATTCTTATCTTTCAATTGTTCTACCCATTGATGTTATCAATAATCCAATTTTATGATTATTATAACTCAGAAACTATGTCCCCTGTCGCCCAATACTAAGTAGGCCAGTATTCGCTTCATTGGTTTATTTTTCCTGTCACCATGCCTCGGTTAAAGTGGGGCCTCAACTTTGTGAGACCGGTACGATAAGATTTGTTCTTATCACCAATAGCACAAATAAAAGTTGGGTGAAGTTAAGTGCTATCGGTGAAATAAAAGATGTAAAATATGTGCCAATGAAAAGTAAACCCCATCAATGTTTATGATACATTTTCTTGTTAACATGCCAGATTTTAACATGCCAGATTTTCGGATCATTCATGTAAATTCGCCCCTTCAGTGAAGAAGAAGGGAAGGTATAACCGTATATGGTGGTTTATTGAACAGACCCAAATGTGACCAGTTTCTTAAAACCTTAATTTGTCTCCGTATTAACTGTTATGTAACAGCTCTACTGAAACCGCTTCAGGCGACTAACTGTATCACTCTACGTTCCTAGCTTGCACATTTTAATTGCTCAAAAATACCTCTGCTCACTTAACAATTATGTCGTTAGTATCGGTTTTATTTTATTTCGGTATTTCAACGAGAATATCGGTGGTTTTGTCACGTGACTGAATGATTGAATGTGCCCAGAAATGCCCTTCCTTGTTTGGCCCAAGAGTGGTCATAGTTTCCAGGCAGAAGAACCATGTAGTGAGATACATTGCGGGTGGTAAAGCGGTACGGTCACGTGATAACTTTGTGATAATTACTGGTCACGTGTTATCGCAATTGTGTGATAATTACTGGGTTATCTAATACCTATTTAGTGCTTCTCCAAAACTGCTGTGGTTTTTCTAAATAATTATAATTTTTCACGTCAAACTTCTATTATTTGGCTGACCTAGCACATCGCGTGACAATATTTAATTTTCTGATATTTAAAACACTGTAATTCACAAGAATGGTGTTTTAAGATAGGCTGGACCTAGGTGGCCCATGAAAGGATATCATGAAGATGCTGAGAACGAGGATGGTTTTCAGCATTCTTATGTTATATACTTAACTCATTTATTAGAATACGGCCCACTAACGTTATGTTGTATTTCAGGGTGAAGCAAAGTTGATGAAAAGAAGGGAGGAAAGGAAGAGAGCAAGAAATGCACTGATAGAAGAGACAATCAGACTAGAAGCTGCTAATAACCCTGAAGTAAGTCATTCAAATGTGAGATTATATTGTATAAGTTATAACACTAATTTTAAAACCTTGTTAATGAACCCACACTAAAATATTACATTTTTGCGGTCACTAGATTTTTCTATCATACCATGTTAACCAGACAAAGCTACTAGATTTGGCTACTTGTCAAAGAAAAGGTATTCATATTACTAGAAGACGCAGTGTCACAACCTAATGCCAAAATTATGATTTTCAGATTACAACAAATACCGGGCGCAATTATCAACCGATATTTTAATGTTTTAGTAAAGGTTTCAATTTAATTTAACTCTCAATGTTGTTATCATACCCTCATAATTCACCTTCTTGTCACATAATAAATTCAATCATTTCTCAATCCAATCACCGATACATTGGTTGAAGCCAGCATTAAATTTCAGATTTGGATTACAGTATTGAATCAGTAATTTATTTATTACTATTTCTCTTTGTGCCTCCACTAAGAACCCTCTTTATCATTTAGTCAACTCCACTTCTTGATTCTCTCATCATGCGTAGGCTTTATCTTGTCGTCTATATAATTCTTTTGTATCCGGTTCTGTACACGGAAATAGTTGGTAAAATAACTGGAAGTGTATGTCTAATAGAGGATAATATCTAGCTACCATGCTATTTAGCTCGTAGTTATACCATTGTGATCTACCTCCGCCCTCCATACTGCAATACTGCACGCTAATACTGCATACTGTTCTATACTCTATAATCTACAGTGGTATGACAGGAGTATAGTGTATAGCAGATGTTTGTGTTGTGATATATTTTACTATATTGCCATACTTTTGGCTTAATGATCGTGAGTCATTATTATGAAGAGGAAAATCTAATCATAAGGTTACAGAGAGATACAAAGAGATAAAATACAATTTAAAAGTATTTTAATAACTTTCGTCTTTGATAGTAGTCATTAAAATACTCGCTGTACACAATACTCAATATTCAGCATTGAATTAGATATTTTATCCGCTTCTAGCCCACCAGTGTTTCATTAGTAGATCTGCACAGTGCTACATATGATAAATGTCTTGTAACCTCTACCAACCCTCTCGAATGTATGCTGTAGTAAAGCCTCTAAGCATTTTCAATCGTAACTCTAATTGAAGGCATAATTAGAGTTATTTAATTAGACATGAAGTCTGCATCCTGTTACTACCTAACCCAGATTAAACTTTACAATAGCGCATCCTATTACAGCCTGAAAGCTACCTTCCAAGTCATGAATATAATGTGGAGATACATATACAAACGCACCTGTTTACCTTTTGTATATATTGTGTGTTGTTAAATTTAGTGGTTTACTGGACTGCACAGCGTCATTACATCTCATTAAATTATAATTTACAAGCTCTCTGGCCGTTTTAAGGGCAGGTAAAATAATTACAGGACTTTCTGTGATGGTGTAGGTTCACCGTGGTCGTTTGCCGAGTAGTTTTGAGAGCTTAGTTCTGTCAGAGATATAGAGTTGTAGTAACTGTAGAGAGATATAGACTGTAGAGTTGTAGTAAGAGAGAGAATTTACAATGAGAATAGTTTCACGCAAAGTCACACTTCATTGTATAATATGAGGTGGTGACGTGAGGGAGACCACACACACACTGCTAACACTTCCGTGCTGGTATTGTGTCCCAACTCTGGAGACTCAGGAGCAACATTGTGCTGGTCATGTTGTAATAAGTCAGAGTAACTTGAGATTCAGATAATTGTAGCTGTACTATTGTTGCTATTACTACGGACTATATTCTGTGTGATGTCCTATTAGAATTGTAGCGGTTACGCTTACATTCCAACCATCTGTTAGCTAAAAGTAGGAATTCTCAAACGAAACACATTTAAAATGCGCTCAGTTTCCTGGTCTGCTAGTTAGAGGCCTATAGTTAGAGCCCCTGTGCTACTATGATTACATAGACCGGGCCCTTATCCCTTTTATGGGGTGTAATCTTGTAACGCGCTTTCAATAGTCATTCTCATTCTTTAGTCATTCTCAGTATCTTTTCATTCTCTACAGCCATATTTTGTTATTAAGTTTGTTTCGTCGTTATCTGATATGCTTAAAATAGATTCACAGCCGCATTAGCATAAAGTGTTCAATTACTTTTTGTGTGATAAAGGCAATCCTGCACGTATATAGTACCAGTGTTCATAAGTTCTTTGCTTTGTGTATTTTGGTTTTGATAAGACAATTGTACAGCTGTTATAAAACTTAGCTACCTCGAGAGACTTATACACTGGCGGCTAGACGTTGCGGATATGCCAGTAATACATTCTCAATAGAAAGATACAAAACGGAAGATGACTATGACGGCGTCTGTTTTGTAATTTAAGCTGCACACATGCACAGAGTACAGCTGCGAGCAATTATACCTTTTTGGAAATGTATTTTTGTAATCCAGTCTCGTACTCCTTGGTATACTTTCTGTTAATCGCCTGGTTTTCTTGTTGAAACTTCCTTGTAATTATTGAAACACAAGGAAATATTTTCGTTTTAGGTTCTTATATTGCTTCAATCGCCCTGAAACCTTTGAGTTATCTTGCACAAACCGGCTGGCAGCCCTCTGACTGGCAGTGTGTAATTGCGACAAGTATATCAATGCCTCGGTTTAATCTGGAGTGCTGTTTTCTACCAGTCTCTCCCTGGGCCGTGGCTACACCCTGTTTTAGTAATAGCCTGTGTTTGGTTTATATATCATCAAAATGTTTTGTTTGTTGATGAGAGTCGTTAGTCGCTGTATTTAATACCCGATTTGAAGGTTGAGAAATGTTCATCAAAATGAACTGAAATGTTGCCCTGTAATGGGAACGGCGCTGTCAAGTATTGCAGATGCTACAGGTCTAGCTGCCCAACTTACCGAAACAGTAGAACCAGCTACACACCGCCGCAAGTCCTCCATAGACTGGAACAAGTTGTACAATGTCACGCTCACTGACGTCTACGGGCAACAGATCCTCATACCTGTAAGTCTGAGAAAATAAGATTGTGAATCTATTTTAGTAGCCCCTCATTTGGGTGATTAATTGACTTTTAGCTCGTCGGCAGTGATGAATTAGTAGAGCCCCAGCCCCAGCTGTAGCTGTAGCTGCAGTTAGTTTGTGTGTAAACAATATTGTTTGCTATGTAAAGGTAAACACCCGTGCTAACCCTGCCTCTGATGTTTTTGACTCAGATTAGTTGATTGTTTTTCTAGCGTTGCTTGCTGTTACACTCATTCAAACTAAGTTGCCACTCCCTTTTCAACTCCGATATGGGCAAAGACAAGAAGATGAAAAAGCAGAAAATCACAGACAAGCTAAAACTCAAAGGTGGTAAAGAAAAGAATTCTAGAAATGGCGTCAGTACAGTCTCGAATGCAGCTCCGTCCTCAACTATTGAACAAACAGAAGGCACTACAGCAAGACCTGATGTATTAATATTAAAAGATCAGAGTACTAATAGTGGTACTTTAGCAGAGCATTCAGATCAGGGTAAACTAACTCGTTTAGCAGAGAGTGATCCCAGTATTTTCCCTGAAGAGACCGTCTGTCTGATGAAGAGGAATGATGCTCCAAGCCCTATTATAGGGTCTAAAGGTTTCAGGATGTCGGTTGATGACCCTACTATAGCTCATGCAGTAGATCCACCCCGTAACACAAAACAAAAGAAGAAAACCCCGACGAAAGGGTCCTACTTCAGCCCTATGTTATGGAGGAAGAGTAAGGCAGGAGACATTCCTCACCTTATATCCAGGAAGAGTATAGTCGGTGACCTTCCCTCACCACTCCCACCAAACCCAGGTGTAACTCCTCCCTCTTCTCCAGCTCAACCAGACACACCTAAACCAGGCCCCCCTAGTCTGATAGAGCGACTCCGCAGTAACATGACCGTAAGAAGAGACTCAGCAGACCATCCCTCAACTCAGGAGTCAATAGCTAAGTTTGGGAACATGGTCAACACCATCAAGGTGACTAACCGTATGTCCAGAACCAGAGCCAGACGTGTCGGAGTGATAGGGAGTCCGGGTAGTGTGGTGCTGCCGGACACACAGTTTATATCCCAGCTGTATGAGGGGTTACCACTGCCTCCCCAGCGAGTGGTTATACCTGTTGTGGGTGGTGAGAGACCGAGGTATATGACACAACCAGGTCACGTGTCACCTGGTTACCATGGTCACGTGTCACCTGGTTACCATGGTCACGTGTCACCCGGTTACCATGGTCACGTGTCACCTGGTTACCATGGTCACGTGTCACCTGGTTACCATGGTCACGTGTCACCTGGTTACCATGGTCACGTGTCACCTGGTTACCATGGTCACGTGTCACCTGGTTACCATGGTCACGTGTCACCTGGTTACCATGGTGATAGTGAGAGTCCTGGTGTTACTGGGTCAGAGAGTTCTAACTCCTCCCCCTACAGTTACAGTACTCCTCTATCTAACAGCTCCTCCTCTCAGGTAACACTGATCATATCTCATTCATAAAATTGTCAACTGTTATACATGTACAATGTACATGTACAATGTACATTGTGAACTTAAATACACATTGTATCACATCTCCCAAATCACAAGGGCTACAAATTGTGGAGTCCTCTAAATTCAATATCAACCTCTGCCCTTTAATCACTATCGTCACGACAATTAATCACTCCCAATAACACGGGGCTTGCTCCTCCAACAATATGTCAGAGGTACCCTGGGTGGGGGACTGATTCACTGATTGATGGACTTACTTCCACCTTCTTACTACCTTGTTAATATCATTGCTTTATTAAGTTTATTTTCCTAGATGCATTGCAGATTGCTTGGCGCACCCATTTGTACAATATTGTACGTTTGTTTATTGTGCTGGAAGCTACCTGGAAGCTAATATTAGTACTAATATAAGTACTATTTGTACACTTCGGCGCCCCAATTTTGATTTGTTTGGTTACATTCCTTCTGCTAAGAGCAATCATTCGACGGCTGTTTCTTCACGCCAAATGCCACACGTTGAACGATTACTATGTTTTCTTTCTGAGTTAGCCGACGCTGCAACGACTCTTTGTAATGTACATTGTTCGACAGTGATTCCGTGGCCGGTCAGTGCCGGAATTGTTATTTCCAGGAACCGGGATTCTTAATTTGAAATACGCCAGAATTTGAAAATGAAGTTATACTTTTGAAAAATGGAATGCCGCTAAAGTAAGATGCTGCCCGATATCCCGGTCGATCAGTGACACTATACAGTATAAGATGGACAATGGCTGCTGATAGGTTGAATATTTGTCCTCCAAATTAAAGGCTTTCGTGATATGACGTGATATGACGTGATATGACGTGGATCACACTTTCAAAATACCATACAATAACCATGAGCTAGCTCTCATTTACATTACAAATATATATTATTATAACATCATAGCATTTTAACTAGATGTAAATCACCCTCTTTCACCCCAAAGTACATGATGTTATATCTTGATATGTAATATGTGATAACACTGGATGTGTTTCAGGCGGCAGATAAGAAGCCCAGTATAGGAGTACAGGGGATATCGCCCAGAGAGATCGCTGCTAAAACAACTCCCTATAATGCGGTATGTCAGACTGTTTATCACTTTAAAATGTGAACTCTTTCAGTTCCACATTCCAATATCAACGTTATGATAATATCATGATTATAACTACCCATACGGCCTTTAGTTCAGCAATTTGACCACTTTCTATGTAGAAACAAAGTTCTAGAAGAATCCTATCTTATCTTCCATTTATCAGGATATCAGATCTAACGCTCCTGATGTGGAATTAGACGTGGACATACCCACAGATCTGTTAGATAACCCTACTGTTATCAGGCTAGCTCAGCAACTCCAAACCAGCGAAAACCACAGGTACATTGCCAGCTCGTTGCGCATCATTTTCAACTATTGAGTGGGGGGGGGGGAGATAATTATTCTTAAGTCTCAATTTTTGTCATGATTAATATGAGAATTTTATGCGATTTGGTTATAGAGTTTTGGATATTCTATAACAAGAAGTATCTTGTCCTCAGAAAAGAAGTGCTGATAAATTGTGCCAAGTTAGAAAACGAGCGCTCCACCCTTATTTACAAAGTAGAAGATCTCAAAGATCTCCTTGAAGACCAGTCAGAATTAGCATCAGAACTGAAAATAACACTTAAAGCAAAGTGCCGGGATATTGAAAAGTTAAAGATGCAAATGACGCAGCGATCTAAAGAGGTGGACTTGTTAACCTGTCAAGTTCAGCAACGGGAGGAACTGCTCAAGGAGAAAGCTGGCATCATTATTACCCAACTAGGAGATATCATGGAGGTCAGTGCGATTGATAATGCTGTATATCAGGGAATACTACTTTTCAATGCTATTCTACATATAGCATGATATTTATAATAATCAAGATGTGATTTTGTTGGACCGTCTAAATTGATCACTAATTGTTGATATTTTCTTGTTTGACTGCTACGCCTGCTATTGGATCGTGATGTGAGTCTGCTTGTTTACTTCAGGCTACTATTAACACAGTTTTTATAATATTAAACATTGTAACAGGTGCCTCTTGATGAAATCAACCTTGAAAACGGAGATAATGTAACGGAAAAGTATTCCATAAAGAAAGTGGAAGACATTGAAAAGCAAAACAACCAGCTCAAGGAGGAGGTTAGTGTTGGTTCATCCTATTTAATAAACTGGGCATGTAAATTGTCAACACACTTTTGCATCAACTCCCCACCGTTAGGAGTCGTTTACTATCTTTACTTATTACTTTATCACTGAGGAAGAGGGTCTCTAAACCACTGATTATCCTTTCATATTGCTTCCAAATTTCCACGGTAACGATTTAATGAGTGGCCCTAACTCTAGCTGAATTATAATCCTCTCCCAGCTCAGTATAACCCCCTCAATTCAGATCGCAGCGTTAAGAGAAGAACTACAGTCACGTGCTCAGAACCACGTGTCAAATAACACACCTGACGTCACAGCCCCAGACTATCAGAACCTTATGAACGTTAGGCGACAACTGGAGAAAGATATAGAGGTCTATAAAGCTCGCCTAACTGTTGAGGAGAGAGACAAGATCAAACTCCAGGGTCAGATATCTGTACTCGATAGTCAAGTCAAGAGATATCGCGGCCAAGTGCAATCATCGGTAAGTTCAATCTTCAACAACTATTTCAGAAAGATTTTTGTTAGTTACTACAGAATTGATGTTTCAGTTTTTTTTTGTTGAATAAAAGTTAGAGTCTAGTGATATAGTTTTATATTTCAAATTATCGAGAATTTTAATCTCAATTTGAACGTAGCCTGAGGGTGAGACTGTAACCGAGAGTGACCAGATTGGCCAGGCTAACAGTGGGAGTGAAGGTTTAATAGAGTGTACGCTGAGTGGGCTTTTTATTACATGCCAGACTTTCAATTTGTGTGTGTGTGTGTTGAGTTGTTAAAATCCAACCTTGGTGAACATTATGTAATTGTTAGCATTTGTGATGTAACAATTTGTAATCTATATTCAAGCATGACTTCATCTGATCTAAAGGGATAGTTGTGCTGGGCGTAAAGTGAAATGTGTGAACCTTTTAACGCTGACGGCGAAAACAACGTAAGCTGTCTGTAGTCAGTTTGTTTGCTACAACATAGGACTCCGCAAACAATTTGTTAATGTTTTATTGTTGCAGTCCGAGGCTGAAGATGAGGCGCTCAGAGAAAAACGTCGACTTCAAAAAGAGGTAAGGATTAGCGTTCAGTGAGGGTAAGTTTGACTAGGATATGAAACCACATTAATTGAGGTTTATGCCCTAAAGCAACACGATCGATGCTTTTCCTTATCCCTCTTTCTCATCGTAATTTTTCCCAGCTGAGGATAAAAAACGAAGAATTAACACACTGCCGTGACGAATGCGGTATGTTAACAAAGAAACTGGAAAAAACACGGACAGTAAACAACAGATAGTGAGCCTATAATGTTCCACATTGGAACACATCTCCTTTTCGACGATATCACATGTAATTAGGCTAATTAGTTGATAATTAGCCTAATTGTCAGATATACTTAGGCTTCTTTCTGGGGACTAAAATAATGTGTTACTTGGCAGGGGCAACTCCTCCGGTTAATACACACACAGACTACTATGTCTCTTGTTTTAGTTGATATATTGACAATCTTAGAAAAATAATAATACACATTTTGATAAATAACGCTACAAAGTGGGGCCGTCATCAGAGGAATTGCTAATTGGTGCGATATTGCATGTTACCTGAGGGCTAAACTTTTCTAGTATAAACGCACCTAAAAACATGCTTTTAACTTTGTTTAAGTTTAATTTTACGTCTTAGCATTAATTTTTTATACAGAAAGAAAAGACACTAGTAAGAAACAAACAATTGCTATTCTATAAAATTAATTATCCTATAATGTGTTAGATCATAAATCAGTCACAGAACGCCTAAATTGTTTAAATAGTTTTGAGGTTTTCAGGGTTTGGCAAATTGGTCCCTCCTGTTGGAGGTATTGCATTCCGACAATATGATATGATTAGTATCAATAATTCAACAGAGTTAACTTTTTTACCAATGTTGTTTGAAGCACAGATATTATGCTAAAATTGATATTTCAAATTTTGTATCAAACCGAAAACATGATCCTTTTATTGTCTTACATTATTATTACTAACGTACATATTATTTTAATTAGTATAACTCCACTTTCGACCTACAACCTATTATTTATATATATTTGACGGCCACCTATTTTTTTTTTCTAGTATCACGTTTCGACCCCCACGGTCGTTTCACTATGGTCGTCCTGACAATACAAGGGGAGCCGCGCACTTCGTGCGCGGCGGGTCATACAACGTATGACAATTTTTTTCATAATCGCACCGGTCGGTTTTTCCAGGGAGTGCGGTTACAAAACTAATCGCACTGTTTTGAGAGAAATTTTTTGCTTAAACATTAAAATACCCGAAGATCGAGTATTGTTAAGTGATTTAGCATGCTCGACCAGAATTATAATATTTGAATGTTGAAGGACCACAATTGACAATTATCAAATTTCAAAACAAAATTGTGTTCAGGTTCACAAATTTTGAAAATAATAATAACCTCACCTGGGGACCCCAGGCTATTATGTATTATGTTCATAAACAATAAAGATTAATAATAACCTACCAAGACGCGGGTTGTAGCGTGATGCACTACTGGGTCGCGCCGCGCATCAAATAATTCTTCTTCGGTAGATCGGCGAGATGCACCACTGTGCCTCACCGAGCTGCGAAGGATTGACATCGTGAATCAATCTACACTCTACTGTCACGTGACTTTTTAAACACGTTCTCTTGGTGGCCCTAAGTGACTATTCGAAATCATAGCCCTCTAATCTGATTGCTGGTCCTTGCTCTAACCAGAGCCCTCTCGCTTGCAGTAGCGCGCGACCGCTGAAACAAGCGCGTCACGCAGTACGCGTATACACATGGCACAGGGGGGGGGGGGCTGAAACCAGCTTTTCGATCAAATTCTGCCATTTGTAGTCAAACGTCGCCAACAGTTGCTTTCGTCCAATGAAATCGCTGCATTTTGCAAGTCAGTATGCATAATTGAATTGCATATATTCATATGCGGAGCTTTGCTTACATAATGTAGCGATTTCATTTGTAGCGCGATGCGTTACTGTGCCGCGCCGCGCTGCCATAAATTGACATCGTCAATTAACGATTTCATTGAACGAGAGCAGCTGTTGGCGACGTTTGACTTAGTGAAGTCATTCCCAATCTCATTTTTAAATCCCGGGATTCGGGAATCCCGACCGAAATAAATCCCGGGATTCCCGAAAATCGGGAAAAATTTCCCGGATTCCCGAAAATCGGGAATTTCCCGGGATTTCCCGGAAATCGGGATTCTCGAACATTTTGACATACGTTGCATGCCACTTTTCGCGAAACATGTATCAACGAACATTAAAAGTTTGTTGAAACAAATGTGAAATGGTACCAATCCTGGAGTTCGACTACGAGTTTAATAAAAGTGTACTTGAAGCAGTATATAGAGTGTCAATTCACAATTGCAATTTTGATTAGAATTTTTTGGACTTAATTTCAATGGAGAGGATTCTATCAACGACGTTAGCTCGTGAAAAGATAAATCCACTGATATTTCATGATCCGCCTCAGGTTGTTCATTGTTCATCGCTCTTTTGTCTATGATTCTGAGTCATTATCTATAGCTTGAATCTTCATCGTCGAGCAGTCAAAGCAGTCAACTCTGCCGAGTCAGGGTCTTCAGTGGTATTTTATTTGTCTTTGCGATGAGTGTTATATCATGATCATTTATTACCCAGCGTGAGCATCGAAGATTCGAGCATTATCAAGCTAATATAGGCGCTAAAATTATTAAAACTACATTGCATAAAATTTCCCGAAATTCGGGAAATAAAAAAATTTCCCGGTCGGGAATTTCAGGTCAAAAATGGTCGGGAAATCCCGGGATCGGGAATTCCCGACATCGTATCGGGATTGACTTCACTAATTTGACTACAAATGGCAGCGTTTGATCGAAAACCTGGTTTCAGCTCCCCCTGTGATGGCTATGTGAAATTTGATCCCAACCCTAACCCTAACCCAATTTCTAACAAAAGCATATGATGAAACTTTTGTACTTGTAGCGCGATGCGTTAATTGATGATGTCAATTCATCGCAGCTCGGCGCGACACAGTAGCGCATCTCGCCGATCGCTGTGAGAAACCTTGTACATTGTATCACGTTGCGACCCCCACGGTCGTTTCACGATACAGGGGGAGCCGCGCGCACTCCGTTCGCGGCGGGTCATACAACGTATGACAAAAGAAACCTTATTGAGTGCGCGGCGCGGCACAGTAACGCATCGCGCTACAACATACAAGTGATCGAAACAGTTTTTCGCCAATATCTCGCTAGGGGAGCATGTTAACCCTATGTTATGGGGGTGTTTCGGAATCAGCGTCCGAAAAACATCGATTGGAGTTGGTCTCAACTCTCAACTGTCAGGGACCCTTTTCACTTTTAAAACAATCTCGAAGATCGAATGTAGACTGTAGAGCTTGATTTAGCACGCTCGAGCATGAAGTCTCTAGGTAAAGTTGGACTTGACATACGTTGCATGCCAATTTTCCCACGCGAAGCGCGCGCCGCCGAAGGGATACGTAACATGTATCAAATAGGGCTACGTAACATGTTGTACTTGTAGGTTTACAACCTACCAGGACGCGCGCCGAGTTGCGCGGACTCGTCGACGACGTCTAATATATGGAACAGATATTTTACGAGTATCACCCGTTAAGTAACATTGAACATGTATCAAATAAATCACAGGCTATCTATACATCACATCTCCGCAAGCAATCCTCGCGCGCGCGCAACTTTTTCGTTGCATGGTAACGGACGGAAGGAAGGACAGATGACAACATATTTAAAAAGCGACTTTGAGTTCGCATGCTTTGTATCAAAGCTTAGCTAATTATGAGTCCTATGGACTCAATTAATTGATGATTCAAATCTACATTGTTGTAAATTATATTGTTATATATTATTCTATTTGTTTTCCAAAAAAAATTTTTTAAACCCACCTATCTCGTTTTCCAAAATCCATGTTTTTCTGCAAAAACCTCCATTCGTAACCTTTCACTATTGCCTTTTTACAAAAGGGTGAAATGGGAAAAATGTAGACTAGATACTATTTCTGCTATTATATTATATATATTATGAGTGAATTTAAATACTGATACTGATAGCCAATAAGATATCATTAAGCAGAGTCCCGTTTTTAATATTTTGACAGTCCTCATTATTTGGAATAATTTTAGTTGTTTCCAAACCACGAATGACGAATGTAATCACTTTGTTTATTTTATGTTTATTCTGGCCCATTCGTATTACTAGCAGGAACCCGTATATATAATAACCCTATGGTGTCAAGACTCAAGAGACTAAAATAATTATTACCTATTTAATTCGCGTTTTTGACATCACTTGGGAGTCCAAATTTTGGGCTCTAAAACTCCTATTCCTTGGCCAATTCTCATTTTTTTCATGCTGATTTGAAGGCCATTAAAGCATTTGACCCATTCAAAAAATGTCAGTTATATATCTTTTACGGTTTTTGCGGAAAGTCGCGTTAAAGTTGATGCCGTGGTGTCAGTAAAATGGTACGGATAAACACATCCATATATATGAATATCGTCTCGCTTTATATATAGTAAGATTGTATAAAACATTTCGATACAAAACACTGTAATATTTAGCAATATTTAGCAATAAATCAGAAAGGAAACACAGTTAAATAATAATAATACTTAGGTTAGTGGGTGAAATTATCTGCGAATCATAATTACTAGTCTAATATATTTGTACAAATGTCACCTCAGTGGCACAATTGGTTAGTACAATTGGTTAGCCTTGGCCCTTTAACCCGGAGGTTGCGAGTTCGAAACCCCGGCTGGGTCAAAATTTCAAAAATCGTCAATTAGTTCACGCATTACAGGCTTGTGTATACATGTTTCAGAAAAATAGAACTAGTCACCCACCAACGTTATTACACATTAATATTAAATTTAATGCCGTATAATACGAGCAAAGTTACACAGTTTATCTAACAAACGTAACATGTAAGGTGAATTGTCTAATGTATCACGTGTATTACGTGGGAATATGAACAACAGAGCAGTAAACACGTGCTCTGGATAACGCTAAGTAAAGTTTAGTCAGGTCAGCCTCCTCATTGTACATCCCCACTGTCACACTGTACAGTACTATTACAGCTGGCCACTGAGCAGAATAACTATCCTCACAGCCACACACTGCAATCTTACTATCAGTGTTAACACATTTCATATTAACACTGTCCGTAACTAGTGACATTAGACTACTAGTGACATAAGTAGTAACTATACCTATATCAGAATAATTTAATCCATCACACAATCTATCTAATTCATTATTAAATACACGCAGAATACTAGTAACATTTAAATCATTAAACACATGTATGACAGGTAATGTACCGTGTATAAAGTGTCCTGGTGATTGTGTAGGTAAAACTATATCTAAAATATCTGATTTAAGAGAACATAATTTAACGAATTCATCTCTAATTACAGACAAAATATTCGATAAATCAGACGTATTTCTCAAGTTCATAGATAAAGTAGTACTCTGATGAGGTGCTAATATATCAGTATTTACATTAGCTACGATTGAAATGGCACCTGTGTTAAATAACGCCCAAGCCTGAACATAATCACATGCAATCCACACATTCTTATCTGCTGATAATTCTAATAATTTGTTAATCAGTTCACTCCACATTTCAGCTTTGATAGAATAATCAATTACTGTCTGTATATCATCAATAAACAAATGATTACCACTTAATAAACTAAGTTTATCTGTTAAATATGTGGCATTTGGCCTACCTGTTATCTCCACAATAATAACACTACACAAACTCTCTGTAATCAGATCAGCTAGTGTGAGATTATCAAAAATAGTGCTTATCAGTTCATATGCTATACTAGCTTTATCCAATGAATCTTGATAATACTGCGAATTGTTCCCTTCTCCAGTAAACTTAAATACAACTACTTTATTGTCACTGTCAGATTGTAT